CAAATTTTTAAAGAGGTCAATGTTCTTGTTTATGTCTAGAAAATATATTTAAAATAGCTTTTTGGAATTAAATAGTTAACCAGGTTGTCTTCCAATGAGAATGTGAATGCTTGAATGATATCAGCTCCTGCTCGTAGGAATTCACGATGAAGCTGTCGAACTAGTCACACGACAAAGGAATCAGTCAATAAATTTAGCATTAAACTACGTGTAAATGTGGGTATGCTTTAAACCCGGGTTTAAAGGAACCACGGTTTATATAGTATGTCGTAAATTTATATGTTACGATTCATCATCAGCAAAATTACCTTCGAACATTTTTTTTCATAGAAATCCATATCCATAGCCCCCCGCCCCCCATCCCAAGATATAACATGTCTTGGTTTGAAACCAGCTCATCCAGTTAAGATACATTCTTCACTATAATAAATTCGGCTTTTGAAGACCCTCCTTGAAACCTATTACCCTACGAATTTTATTAACGTTCGGCGGGTGTGGATATTTTCTGGAAACGCACGATGGAAGACTGAAACATAACAAATACTTAATAATAGGCCTGAAAAGAACGGATCACTACAGGCCGTTTAGCAATCTAGATGCTTCACTCATAACAGACTGTCTGACCTGCCTCTGGATGCTCCACTGTACACTCGGGGGTCCACAGTCCTGCTTTCACATAACCTCGCTTTTCTAGAACATGCACCATTCCTCCATCTCCTACTAACACCTCGCCATCATTAAGCCGCTCCAAGATGCCGCGCTAGAGAACATTACAAAATGGTTAATTGAAGATAATATGCCGGTTTTAAAATGATGACGGGGAAACCGTCTGGCTAGATATATGCCGGGTAGCACGTAGTAGATAACCTGGATATGAGAGCCTGTTTGTAACTAAGGGCCTACTAACCCACGGGATTAGAAAACCAAATATCGTGGATTAAAATACTGGTCTCCAGGCAGAACATTGAAGTGAATATTTTTTGACAATTTCCACTACCCGGTCTACCCAGTCGACGTCCTTGCGAAGTCATTTGCATTTGATACAAGCTGAAAAGTAACGCAACAACCGTCACGCAATGCCGATACATAAAAATAACATGTTACCAACATTCTTTTCCGGAGAATAATGTCTTCCTCATAGTTAAAATCTGTCACTGACATACATGGGCGATTATCGATCCCTTTTATTATTGCCGCGAAAATGATCGAGTCTGTATTGAACTATTGCGAAATAAAATTCATTGTTATGCGTCAGTCAATTTCAGCAGTGCCCCCCCCCCCCCCGGG